GGGGGTGAGGCGTTCACAGAAAACGACCAGCTGTAATTCTTTCGCTCCAATGAAATCGATTCATCAAAACGAGGTTAGGGAATGGGTCAGAGTTTGTGAGTGAGTCCTTGTGTAGCTTTTCAGATGACTCTCAGAGACGAACATACTCATCCTTACACAAAACTGAATTAGTGTATCAATTTTATTTTATTAGTTGCTCTTACAGGTGGAACTTGTTAGGTAGTTGAGAAAAGTTTTCTTAAAGAATAAACTCTACACTCAAGTAATTACGGGGGCTGAATGCTATACGTTCGTCAACGTTTAGGAACAAGAATGTAATAAGGACAAAGCAATGGTTACGTAGACATTTCTCTCTCTCTCTCTCTCTCTCTCTCTCTCTCTCTCTCTCTCTCTCTCTATCTATCTATCTATCTATCTATCTATCTCTACTTTATGTGTGTGTGTGTGTGTGTTATGTATGAATCATATTATGCTTATTCATAGCTTTGATGTAATTGATGTGCTTTTATATAATATACTTAAGTTTCTCCATTTTCCTTCTTTTCTGTTTCCGCTCAATTTTGCACGAGATGGGGTGGTCCAAACACACACACGCACGCACGCGCACACACACACACGCACACACACACACACACATACACACACACACACACACACACATACAAACACAAAACTACATGCACATACACACATCAGGGACTCTCGTGGCCTAGAGGTTAAGGTTGACCACTCATGCAAAGATCCCGGGTTCAAATCCGGGTAGCGACCGAAAAATATTTTTTCTCTAAATTTGTCGCCTTTCACGTCTTTTTCCTGCTCTCTGGCAATGTTCTGTCATCTTCTTCCCTCTCCTGTTTCTGCCCCCACCCCCTCACCTCCTTTGCCCCCTCCACTGGGCTCCTGATTCTTTCTGCAGCCTTTCTACTGCTACTCCTTGGCTCCTTCTTACTGCTGCTGTCTTTCAGCCACACCCCTGATCTTCTGGTTGGAAAGATCTACACCTAGCCTTCTCGGACAAGGGCGAAAAATCTCGGAGAGCCCATGAGCAAGATGCGAACGTTAAAGATCCCTTGGCGGTCTGAAATCGATCAAAGTAAGCTTCGGCCGCCACCCGGGCAAAATTCAAAAATTTCCTACCAACTGAAAAAGTTTAATTAATATGTCCCGCGCGCTCATATAACCTTATGCAGTTGCGAGTGCCAAAATTAAAAAAAAAAAATTAATAAATACACAACCGTATTATACATGTACATCCACA